CTCTCTCTCTCTCTCTCTCTCTCTCTCTCTCTCTCTCACACACACACACACACACACACACACACACACACACACACACACCCACCCCACTTCAGCTGCCACCACCATCACCAGAATCCTGAAACAGACATTAAAACAAGAGGCTGTGCTCTGATTTGAAGACATCCTTGCACTAAAAACCTGATTGTGGGTTATCCGGAAATGGGCAAGTGCCCCTGGTAATAAATCTGTCTGTGACTGCCTACTAGTGAAATATTTTATGTGTGTTTGATGGTGGTACTACCTTAAAGGGCTGGCATGGTTTAACATTCTGTAATATGTAATATCTTGCAACTGCAGAGCTGGGAAGCATTGTCTGGATCATCATGTCCAACCCCTATCAAGGAGGCATAAGCAGGGAATCGAACTCCCTATCTCTGGCTCTGCACGTTACACAACTTTGTGGGTTTTGGCTTCTGGGTTGTCCCGCAGATACTTTAAATAAACTCAGGTTCCCTGGACCAGGTGAGCTGCAGGCTAAGATAACTAAAGAAACATTCAGGTATATTTTGATTTGGGCTGGACTCGACGGTTTTAGAGCGACCCTTCCAACTCCATCATTCTAGGATTCAATCTTATCACAGAGTCTCTGTCTACCATCATCAAGGATTCTGGGTGGACGGCCCTTCCAACTCCATCATTCTAGGATTCAGTCTTATCACAGAGTCTCTGTCTACCATCCTCAAGGATTCTGGATGGACAGGTGAGGCCCCTGGAGACTGGGAGGGGGCCAGCATCAGACCCATTTTCAGAAAGGGAGAGATCAATGAGAATAAAGGCAATCTGCCGACCAGCTTGAAAACCGTATCAGGCAAGTTTTTGTAGAAGGGGAAAAGCCCAATATTTGATCACTTAGAAGAAAACATGGTGACGACTCAGAGCCAACGTGAATTGCTCAAAACCCAGCCTTGACAGAGACAATCTATTTTCACAATTGTGCTACAAGCTTGGTAGATCAAGGGAATGCTGCGGATGTAGGTATATCATGGGTGGAACTTTACATGACTGTACTACATGACGGGCCATCAGATGAAAAACAAGGAGAACCTCCAAGTCAAAAGTTTTTTAGTACACCTTTCTATGCCTTGAATTCCAAATGGCTGTAGAAACACATTCAGTTATGAATAAATTAAGGTTCTTGGGGGAACTGACCTATCAGGTGGAATTGACAAAGAAATGAGAAGCCGTAAGGTATGAATATTCAACTCCAGATCTGTGCTCACTGGGACAAAGCATAAAATTCAAAAAAAGAAGTCCTTCACTTTCCGGTGAGAAAGGGCCACGCCATGCACCGAGCCACCTACCTTTTGACCATTTCTTCTCCTCCAAAATCCAGTCGGATGGTTCTTCTTTCACTTCCGGCTGACAGACGAGGTCCGGTTTGAGGAGTCCTTCCCAAGAAACATACACAACCTGGTTAGTTCATTGCAAAAGTCTTCAGAGACCTCAGACCCCCCCATCCTAGAGGATGTCCAACCAAGATTAAGGAAAGCCAAAGCCTTGAATAGGGCAGGGGGGTCCGTGGCTAGCCCAGATTCCCCATGGGACTTGAATTGGCCAGGAAGATCTCCTTATCTTTCACCAAGAATCTCCACGATCCCCCAGGCAAGAGAGAGGCCTCACAACACACCCGAGAAGGTGCCTGTCAAGACCTCAAGGTGCAAAGGAAGCAAGGAAACGGGATCCATCTTAGAACGGATGCATTGAAACCAAGTAACACTTGGTGTATCACTCAGTTCCAGAGCATGCACAGAGTGCAACACCGGATCCAGTAACGCAGCACCAATAAGATGAAGTGTGCTTAGACATCACAAGAGCTGATCAGAAATTTAAAAAAAATGGCTGGTTTGACAGGTGCTACGTCTCTGTTTCCGGTATTTAAGAGACTTACACATGACTATCTGCTACCTTACCTAGAGCATAATTCTTAGAGAGTTAGTGTTAGTGTTTCCCTGTTCGTGATATCCTTCTTTGTCCGAAATGTGTCTCTCATAGCGAAATCATTCCTTTTTTAAAAAAATCTCTACTCGTCCCACCCACATCTCTCATGTGGAGATGCTTCAAGTAAACCTGTTACTCACAACGGGGTCTTTTCAGTGGTGGCCACCTCGCTTTGGGATTATCTCCTATCAGAGTTGCGACTGGCCTCATCCTTCCTTGGTCTCAGGAGGCAATTTACGACCTGGCTGTTTTCACAGGGTTCTCCCAAATTAAGTAGTAATTTTAATTAATTTTGATTCATTTCCACACACCCCGACTAGTTTTCTTGTAAATAGAAAAACCTCTCTCTGCCGACCAGCTATTCTTTTTTGTTGTTGTTGTAAATTTATTGTGCTGAATGCTATTCTACTTCCAGGGATCAGGTATACCATCATCCCTTTTCTGAATGTTCTGATTTCTTTTGTTGCTTTTATTGTTATTATTACGTTATTTTGATGTTGCTCTGTTAGCTACCGGGAGTAGTGTCTCTGCTACAAGGAGAGCAGGATAAAAATATATATGGATGGATGGATGGATGGATGGATGGATGGATGGATGGATGGATGGATGGATGGATGGATGGATGGATGGATGGATGGATGGATGGATGGATGGATGGATGGATGGATGGATTCTGGA